TGGGAGGTAGGGGAGCATATAGGAGGAAATATGGAGGGAAAATGATGATCAGGATAACTTGTGTGAAAAAATTATATTCAATAAAATAGCTAGAAGAAAGGAGTTTAATGCAATCATATATAATCTTGATATGAAATTAAGATGTTGATACTCAGAGGTTCAATTCCCCATATACACATTCATTAATTGAGGCATTATATCTTGTCTCACATTGCACACAGCATGCTATGAAAATAATTATTTGGCAAACAAAATACCTTTGATGTCATGTTTTGATTTGATGATAAGGTTGATGACTACCTTATATGCCATCCTAGAACCTTCATCCAGTGACTGACAGAAGCAGAGATAGATACCCACATCAGAACCCCTGGAACCCAGTGATAGAGATGGAGGAGTGATGAGCAAAGGTGTCAAGACAGTGCTAGTGAAACCCACAAAGACAGTTGACCAAGACAAGAGGGAGCTCTTGAATCCTAGACTGCTGGCTGAGAGGCCAACCGGGGCCTGATCCATACTCCACAAATGCAGTACCAGTGAGGAGGCCTCAGAAATCTCTGGGGCCTTGGGTAGTAGATCAGTGTTCATCATGGTGTATGAATGAACTTTGGGAACCCATTCCACATGGAGGGATGCCCTCTCAGCCTGGACACATGAGGAAGGGCCTAGGTCCTGCCTGGATGAAATGACAGACTCTGGAGATTCCCCCAAGGAGGGCCTCAACCTCCCTGGGTAATGATGTGGGGATTGGGCTGGGGGATGGGTGGGTGAGGCTGGTGGAGGGACAAGGGAGGAGGGGTGGGAGAGGAAGCTGGGATTGACATGTGAGGCATGCATGTTTCTAATTTAAATAAAAACATATATTGAGAAAAAACTGAAAAAAAGAAAATAAAAACACTGTAAAGCTTTATGAACTCATGTACATCAAAGGTCTCACCATATGTAACATCTTCTAATTATTTGTGGAACCTGAGTGAAGTGTTCATTCGTAGTCAGTAATAAATATTCTGTTGAAAATTGTGTTCAACCTGGAGTCACCAGGAAGAGAGAAAATGTGATAGGGAAATAAATTATTTTTTCTTAAAAAAGAATAATTACATGTAAAAAGAAAGAGGGAAGTTTGGATAATTAGGGTCCGAGGAAGGAATGTGCATGCACGTGCATACACACACGCACACACACACACACACACACACACACAACTCTCACACAATTTCATTAGTAATATTCTCTTTGAGAAAAGATGCACTTAAACAAACTGTGCTTGGTCATAGTGTTGATATCTAGTTGATTTGTCCCTTCAGAGGTAAGCCCCCAAGGTGTTAAGTTCTTTGGGGACTTGCTTCTGAATAATTGTAAGATCACATATTCAGGTCCCTTATTTTGCTAAATAAGGGAGCCAATGATCAGGCCAATTTTTCTCCCTTTGTGTCTAGGCCCATCAGGATAAGAAGTTCATCTTTTCACCACCTGCTTAGAATGTCATCCATCTCAGAAGGGTTACTGCTACAAAGTCTATTAATATTTTTCCTGTGTTTTAGAAAATGACTGCTGCCTTTGAAGCAACTTAAGATGCAGAAAGCATATCTTTAAAGAAGTGAGTACATTGCATTTTGCATTGTGGGATGTGCTTGAAATACTGAGGAGAAGTACCAGGTACAGTTTGAAATTTGATTGTAAAATAAAGATTTCTTTATTTTTTTAAAATTTACTCTTCTCACATATTACATCTGATTGCAGTTTCCCTTCCCCTTCTTCACCCAGTGCCCCTTCATCCTTTCTTCCCCACCCCTACTCCTCCTTTCTCTTAAGAAAAGGGCAGGCCTCCAGAGATATCAACCAAACATGGCATGTCAAGTTATAGTAAAATAAGGTACTTCCATTCATATTAAGTATGGATTAGGCAAGCCAGTAGGAGGGAAAGGGTCCCCAAAGCAGGCAAAAGAGTTAGTGACAGCCCCACACCCACTGTTAGGAGTCCCACAGAGACACAAAGTTACATAACTATAACGTATGTGTAGAGGATGTAGGTCAGACTCATAAAGGCTCCCTGACTGTCAGATGAGTCTCTTTGGATCCCTTGAAACCTTGGTTAGTAAAGTCTGTGGGCTGTTTGCTTGTGGTGCCTTTGAGCTCTCTGGTTCCCACAATCCTTCCAGACTCATACAGGCTCTCTGTGAGTCGAGTCTCTGCGAGTTCCTAAAAACTCTGGCTAGTAAAGTCTGTGGGCTGTTTGCTTGTGCTGTCCTTGACCCCTCTGTTTCCTACAATCCTTCCTATCCCCATTCTGCAGGACTCCCTGAGTGAGTTCCACCTAATGTCTGGCTATGGGTCTCTGCATTTCTCCCATCAGTTGCTGGATGAAGCCTCTCTGATGATGACTATGCTAGACTCCGGTCTATGAGTACAGCAGAATACCATTAGGAATCCATTCACTGCATCTATCTATCTATCTATCTATCTATCTATCTATCTATCTATCTATCTATCTATCTATCTATCTATCTATCTATCCATTTACTTATTCATTCATTCTTTCAATCGTTCGTTCATTTATTTTCCTGATCTTGTTTGGTTTTATCCTTCATCTCTGGGTTTTCCAGACTCTGGTTCTTGGCCTTCCAGGCAGTCTCTGTCACGGGTTTCTCTCGCAGAATAGGTCTCAATTTACAAATCCTCCTTCAGGTTCTGTATTTTGTTCACGTTGACTAAACTACTGATCTATGTCACATTTTCTGAATTGATTTGCCTCGATTTTTTAAAATTAAATATGTTTTACCCTAGTTTTCCATCTCTCCTCTCTTTCCACTTCCTCCCTCTCCTACCACTTCCTCTCTACCCACCCACCAATCCACTCCTCTGTTTCTGTTCAGGAAGGGTTAGGTCTCTTATGGGTATTAAGAAAGCATAGCATCTCTAGTTGCAGTAAGGCTGTATTAAGGCTGGTCAACACAACCCAGTATGAGAAATAGTTTCCCAAAAGCCACTAAAAGCATTGGAGACAGCTTCTACTCCCACTGTTAGAAGTTCCACAAGTAGACCCAGCTACACAGGGTCCCATGCTTCCTCCCTGGTTGTTGGTTCAGATTCTGTGAGCTCCTAGGAGGCCAGTTTAGTTTTTTCTGTGGGTTTTCTTGTGATATCATTTTACCCTCTGGCTCATAAAATCCTTCCTCTCTGTCTTCAGCAGGATTCCCCAAGTTCAACCTAACATTTGGTTGTGTGTCTCTGCATTTGTCCCCGTTAGTTACTAGATAAAAGCTCTCTGATGACAATTGGGGTAGGCACCAATCTATGAGTATAGCAGAATATTGTTAGTCATCATCATGCTGACATTTTTTTTTGCTTTTCTCCAGTTATGTTTGGTTCTATCCTATGTTTTTGGGTCATATGGCCTCTGGATTCTGGCACCCCAGGAAGTGTTAGGGGTGAGCTCACTCTAGTGGCATGGGTCTCATTGCCTTAACTTTTGATAAAAATGTATATATTCTTGAAAATTGCTAGGAGAGTTTAAGCATCCTTATGTCTTTTGCATACCCTTCACAAGTGTGAACAAAACATGGCTCTGTATATTATGTAATAAGATAATTAGCATATATGCCCACATTCTCATAATAATTTGCATAAATATCACATGATATACATATTTCAAACCACTATGTTATACATGGAATATGCACAATTTTGGGTTGGGGAGGAAAGGGTTTATTTGGCTTACAGGATTATAGTCCATCCTCAATAGAAACCAAAGCAAGAACTCCAGGCTGGAACCTGGCATCAGGAACTGAAACACTGACCACAGATGAAAGCTGCTTATTGCCTTGCTCTCCATGAACTCATTCAGGCTGCTTTCTCATACCATCCAGAACTACATGACCAGGGGTTGACCCTTCCATGTCAATCATTAATCAAGAAAACGCCCCACAATTGCATACAAGCCAATATGATAGAGGGATTTTCTCAGTTGAGGTCTCTCTTCCTATATGATGTGCACAGTTTTTACTACCAGTCATAATTGCAAAATATACATTTGACATCTCCCATACATTGAATTAATTTCATTATTTATACTTAAGAATTTATATAAAATATTGCAAATCATGTGAAATATTTTAGTTGTTTTAGCTCAGTAGAATTCCTTTCCCTTACAAGTTTCATTGTAAGTTTTTGCAAATATTTATCAGATTTGTTGATGTCAGAGGCATGCCTCTGATGTCCTTTGGTGACATCATATTCTTTATGTATAATATGCAGTCAGGAGACTTTTCTACCACCCCATTCCTCACTCGATTTCTTCCATTTTATGATGCTGGTTTGAGCATTGTATCTGCCAAGAGCTACATTTTTCTATTTCTAAGGAAGAACTTTATGACTATGATCAATTGTAACTGTACTACTAAATGCAGTAATTTAATCATTATTTAAATACTATTTTATAATCTGAAGGATTTTAGATCATATAGGCAGTCACCATATCATGGGAATAGCAACATAATCCAAAGAGATAAGAGTAAGCTAACTCTAAGGTTTAGAAGGGTATTGCCACAACTACCCAGACATAAAAGTTAAGAATATTAATTATTTCTCAGTTCAATAATACTTCCAATCATCTGTTACAGGATACTTAATGTAAGAACATTGAATTAAAAACTATTGCATCTGTTAGTGACCATAATTAAGTAATAAAGTTCACGTAGTAAGTTTAAAACTAAATAGTAATTATCGTGTCAAATGCAGTTTTATAACATGAGAGAGCCTTACAGCACTTGCCAGACAATTCTTGATAAGAAGGGGGTACAGAATCCAAAGAGCTCAATCGTAAGTTACTGAATATTACATAGGATTTTTGCATGACTTCCTAGATCTATTATTACAGTAACAATGTTGCTGAGTTGTCTGTAATAAACATACTGAAGATAATCTGACAATGATTTCAAATATCAGTTCAATGAGTTTGGTAAGCCATAATTTTTATTCTTTTGACAGGTCCAAACTGACCAATGGAAGAAAAGAATCAGACTGCAGTGACAGAGTTTCTCTTCCTTGGCATCACAGATAACCTCCATCAGAAGATTGTTCTCTTCATCATCTTTTTCCTTGTTTATCTTGTCACTCTTGGGGGTAACCTGGGCATGATCACTCTCATATGGGTGGACCCTAGGCTGCACACACCTATGTACTTTTTTCTCAGCCATCTGTCCTTTGTAGATGTGTGCTCCTCTTCTTCCATAGCTCCCAGGATGCTGTGTGACATGTTTGCAGAGAACAAAGGCATCTCTTTTGTGGGCTGTGCCGCACAGATGTGGTTCTTTGGTCTCTTTGTGACAACTGATTGTTTCCTCCTGGCTGTCATGGCATATGATCGATATACAGCCATCTGTAAGCCCTTGCTGTATACACTCATTATGTCCCAGAGGGTCTGTGTGTGGTTTGTCATAGGACCGTACGTCCTAGCTGCTTTAAATATCACAACTCATACAACCTTGACTTTTTGCTTACCATTCTGTGGTCCAAACACTATCAACCATTTCTTCTGCGATGTTTCCCCACTGCTCTCATTAGCATGTGCTGACACATGGATTAACAAGGTAGTGCTTTTTGTCCTGGCTGGAATGATAGGAGTTCCTAGTGGTCTGATCATCCTGGTCTCCTACATCTGCATTCTGGTGGCCATCTTGAAGATCAAGACTGCTGATGGGAGACAGAAAGCCTTCTCCACATGTTCTTCTCACCTAGCAGCTGTTTCTATTCTTTATGGGACTCTTTTCTTCATATATATCCGACCCAATGCAAGTTCTTCCCTGGATATCAATAAAGTGATATCCCTATTTTATACTGTGGTGATCCCCATGTTGAATCCCCTCATCTACAGCTTGAGGAACAAAGAGGTGAAAGATGCCTTAAGTAGAACATTGGAGAGGAAGAACTTCCTAATAGGTGCTTAAGACAGAATTCTCATTGTGTCACACTTAGGATGGTGGTGCAAAATTTATGTTAAAGAACACTGGGATGGGAATCATAGGTCACATTATGAACCTGGCAATGCAGTTGGAAGTCTTTTTGAAAAGTGAAGACATGCCAGGCAGTGGTGGCAAATTCCTTTAATTTCAGCATTCGTGAGGAAGAGGAGGCAGATCTCTGAGTTTAATGCCAGCCTGGTTTACAGAGTTAGTTTCAGGATAGCTAGAGGTACACAGAGAAACTTCATATTTGATGCCCCTCCCTGCCAAAGTCAAGATTCTTCTAAATATTTTTTGCCCAGTCTTTTTCTAGCCAAATAATAGATATATTGAGATGTACAAATACATATTAGAAGATAATTTAGATGAATATTATATGAATGCATGTGTATTTCTTAATATAGACATAAAAACTAAATGCTATCAATAATATATCAAAGCATGTAAAATAAAATACAATAGAAGAAAAGACGTTTTCAAATATGTTCCATCACAAATAACATTTATAATGTATAAAAGAGGTTTATGTTAAAAAACAAAGGTTGAAAGTAATTAACTTGGAAAATTATCAGTAGACAATGAACATAAATGAGAGCATAAATCACCAAATATGTGAAAGTTAACCTTGCTTTTTCTTTAAATCATCCAAGGAAGAATAATTTAATTAATCAACCAGTGTAGTAGGTTTCATCTCACATGAAACATTGCAAGATTTTTTTAACTAATGGTTAATGAGATTCCTGTTTGATTATATATTTAACTGTTTTTTATGATTATTCAATCCTAATCACAAAGACTGTTGGTAGTTTCTATTAAAGATGATAATTTTACATGAATTTTTCTTCAGAAAACACTTTAAGATATTTATATCTCATATACATAAGTGCCAATGCATACAGTTATACATATGGCAGCAGTAATGGAAAAGAATGCAAACAGGATGAAATAACTCAAATACATACCATGGTAAGTAAAGATCATTTTTTATAAATATTGCACACTTTACAAATTGAATGATAGAGCACAATTTGATATTGTTACAGTAACAGAAAAAATCAGATTGCGAATCATTTTGCTGTAATTACTAGATTTTCAAAAATTGTAAATGTATATATGAATAACATCTGCATGCATAGACATTTGTGTAGAACCTAGAGAAATAGTGAAAGAACATTCACTTAACTGTGGATACTGATTACTTAGTCAAGAATAGATTGGCAGTATGTTAGAGCTTTATTAATCTACCTATGGATCCCTGTCCTTTCATCCTTTCTGTTTCTCCTAGGCTCAGCCTAGATGGACCCTTTCTCCTTATGGTGGACTGCTGCTGTGTTTATCTAGCTTCATTTATTGGAAGATGTGACTAGATTCTGCTCATGGGGCAGGCTAGAATGCATGGCAAGAGGATACCTCATACACAAAAGTTAGTTCTTTATCAGGGAGTAGAAACACACCAGAAGCTGCTACTCAAAACACATGTAATTCTTGGCAGTAAATTGCATGGACTTGCTTTTGACCCTGAGACACAAGTTAGCTTCCCGCTTTATCTTCACTGAGCTCCATCCTGCTTTATCTTTTCTTTTCTTTTAACACCATTTTAGCTTTGAGTTTCACAGATTCTCCTGCATCATTGTGTATCAAGTCACAGGATTGCTTGCGCTGATGAGTCCTTTTTCTGCTCTGTCTCCTCCCCACTTGACATTAACAGATTTCTGTGCCATTTAATGTTTGGGCTGGGACAGTATTACTGGGATGGAATGTACTTCTCCCACATCTGGTGAGTGTAGCAGCACCCTGTGCCTCTTTCATTGTGAATATAACTTGTGTGTGGTGTTCAAGTATGACCTTTGGTTTTGGACCAGTAAAAGCCCCTCCCACCGCCACCAATATACATCCTTTTATATATCATTTTACCATTTCCTTTTCTTTTCATCACTCGCTCCTATGATAATTCTCCTTTATTGTCTAGCTACATAAGTGTCTCAGTGTGTTGTACTTCAGTATGCCCCAAGATATCTGTAGTGAAACAATGTGAATACAGTTTATCTTATAGTCTCTGAATCATATGTATTTTTAAGATCTCCAATACTATGGCAATTGTTTTTGTGACCAACTGTGTAGGTATGATGCTATCTGTGTTGTGACTAGTTTGTTATTTTGAAGGATCTTTAACTAGACAGTTATTTTTCAGATTATATGACTGAAGAAGGTAGGAGTGTTATTATTGGTTACGGCACAGGTATTGATTTTTTTTTTGAGTTGTTGGTCAAGGCTGTCTAAGAGACTCTCAACACATGTAGCAAATGGCTGTTTCCCTTGGTTACTTCCAGAAGTTAAAGGCAAGTCCCTAGTGCTAAAGGCATCATAGTCTCCAGAAATAGGTCCTGAGGCCCCTAGATCAAGCTATACAAGTGTCACATTTATACAGAGGGTCTAGGTTGGTCCCATGCAGGCTCTCTGGTTATTGGTTCAGACTATGAGAGTTTTCCTGAGCCAGGATGGTGGTTTATATGGGTTTCCTGAGATGTTACTGACCTCAAGATACCTTGCTTCCTACAACCCAGCCCTCCTCAGCAGGACTCCTCAGCTGTGGGTCTTTAAATCTGTCTGCCTCCAGTCATCACTGGATGAAGGCTCTCTGATCCATTTATACTTGGGGAGTGGGACAAAGCTAGAATGAAGTGCTTTTGCTTTCAAAACTACACATGTGTACTTCTTTCTATTTGTTAGCTGTTTTATGTATTTTCTTTTTGTATTTTCAACATTATCCCTGAAAGCAGCTGTTTCTGTGAGTTCCCTTTCACACTTGCCTGTCACTTTGGATTTCCATGTGCTAATTTACAGATCTGAGCTACCTTTGATAAGAGGAGAGCACAAGGTGATTTTAAAGACTTGGAATTTTGCTTCTAAACCCAAGGATTTCTTAAGAGTTCCTGCACAGACAGTGTGACTGACTCCCCATGGCTGCTGGTTTACTCTTTGCCCCTGACTACTATTTTTGAGGTGTTAATACTAACACAGGATTTGTGATACTGATAGTAGTTATGTTTATGTGTGTTCCCTCCACTAAATTGTAAGACTCTGAAGAGAATACTTCCTAAAATCCATTAGCACATACTTTTTATGATGCAAATAAATAATGTAAAGCTAAATGTTGGGAAAAAAAGGAAGAGGGAAGCAGTGCCTGGTACTGGAAGTCTACCTAACTACTCAGTGCTAGGAAAACCATGGTTATTGGAGGAGAAATCTGTAAGCACTAATTTGCTAAACAAATATAACACCTAACAACACTATACAAACATTTGGTTTCTTTTTTTCGTTTTCTGTTTTTAAATTTATTTATTCATTCATTTATTTATTTATTTCCATTTTCATGCCAACCCCAGTTCCCCCTTTCTCCCCTTTTCCTGTCTTCCCACTTTTCTCCCTTCCCACCTGCCATCCATTCCTCAGAGGGGCTAAGGCCTCCCCTGTTTTATTCTTATACCAACAGATAAGTGTAGTCTTCATCCTCATCAAGGAAATATTTCTTTTCAGCAAGGAGAGACCACTATCTAAACCCACAACTAATCAAAATGAGAGTTATGGAGCCCAGTCCCAGTGGATACATCTATAAAATGTTCCCATACCTAAGGCTCAGGTTTAGAGGGGTCAGAAAAATTGTAAGAGCCAGAGGATAAAGGAATTTGCTGTAAGACTGTGCCTCTTAGTAACATCAGAAGCTACACTCAAAGCATCACTAATATGACTTTCTAAATTTGAGCTGAAAAAGGATGATACCAATAAGCATGCCAAATTAGACAGAAAAAGTCCATAGGGACTCAGCCCTACACAAAGCATTAGAGGCAACTGAGGAGAGCAGGGAGCAGGAGAAGTGACCCTCTTCAGTAAAGAGACTGGTTAGATAACTAGTACTACATGGTTAGCGCCCAAAACATACACACAAGTAGCATTATATGGACTCAACAGGTTATATTTGGAAATATATCTGTATGTACAAATACACATGTACATTCAATAACAATTGATGACCAGAGTCCATGAATTTTAAGGAGAGTTTAGAAATGTACATGGGAAGTTTAGAGGGAGGAAAGGAAAAGGGGAAATGTAATTAAAATAAAATCTCAAAAGCAAATACCAAAGTGTTAATGAAGGGAAATGGCAAATTCTTAGGCCAGTTTATTTATGTACTTATCCATCTATCTTTTCTGGTTGCTGAAAATTGAATTATTGCTCTTACAGAGACCAGAAGAAAAAGCCATTCTCTTTCTGATCTAATTATCAAAGCCTTGAGGATAGACTTGGAGCTAACCATGTAGTACCAGTTGTCTAATCAGTTGTAAAACTGACTACATGTTAGAAATGCTTATCAACATGTTGAAAGGATCAAGAAGGAATGCACAGTTTTGAGTTTACTAGAATAATTCCCCATGAAAACCTTCAAGGACCCTACATTCCATGATAAGTCAGTCTAAAGGTCAGTCGAGGTGAACAGGAGTGTCAGGCAGTCTTAGTAGGAGACACATATGATTAAATACAGCAAAAATACAAGTTTTCCAAAGCAGTAACAATATGGTTGTGGGAAAGCTCAAAAAGTCTTTATTCTAACAAAGAACTATGGGTAACTATGGACTGCTAAGACTCTAAGAAATAGTTTTCCCCAGAGAAGAGTGCAACTGATCATCTAACACCAAATGGTCAGTAATGAAAACATAGATACAAACACAAGTAACATTATACAGACTGAGCATGTTGTATTTATGTATTTAACAACAAGAAAAGAAATAAGAGGTCATGAATCTGAAAGAGAGAAAGGAGGGAGTATGTGGGTGCTTTGGAGGGAAGAAAAAGAATGGAGAAATGTGTAATTAATATTATAATATGAAAACATAGAATCCAAAATCTTTATTACAAACAAATTAGAATCTATCCAAAAGTTAAATAATATTTACCATTGTGTTGAAGGACAAAATACTAGTTACACC